AGGCAGCCGACCGTGATCCTCTCTCAGTACTGATGTCTCTCTCTCTCTTCCTCTCTGAAATCGATAAAGATGTATTTAAAAAAGCTGTACATACAGCACTCCCAACTGCTGCTATGCAGCACACCCTCAGTAACACGGAACCATCACCGTCGATCACTTAGCAACCTGTCCCCACGTCCCAGCCACGCGCCCTGGGATCGGCTCTCACGTCCACCCGGTGTTCTCTGCAACCGCGGTCACCGTAGCCCGGAGCGGTCCGTGCAACTCACCCGCACGTCTCACTATGTGGACTGGACGTTAAGTCGTTCGCTAGGAATCCCTCAGCTTGGCCACTGCTGAACAACTAAATACTGTCTTTTAAAGGCTTTTACCAGCTGCCAAGTGTTAAGCATTACAAGTGCTTTTTGTATGGGGCGGGGGGAGGGGGTAGGAGGATAAGTAAGCGCTTTACCGGCCATCTCACAGCAGAACACGTCTTTTCCAGGAGCTAGAGTGAAGCAGTGACAGCGAACAGGCTTTAAACAAGGAATAAACCGCATTGTGTGGCCGTGTCCGTCCGTCCACACAGGTCATTCTACCTGCTCACAACCCACAAGCCGCTTCCTCCAACTTCTTGTGACAGAGGCTCAGAGGGGACACAGCCCTGGGAGCTGGGGGACGCCCCCCCCCCATCGCCTCCGGCCCCCGGGCCTCCAGTCCGAGTTCTGGCTGGAATGGGAGTGAGTTTCAGGAATTCCCGGGAATCCCATGAATGTCTTCCATGGTATATTTTTTTTGGTATTTTATTGGTTTTTTACAGAGAGGAAGGGAGGAGAGAGTTAGAAACACTGATGAGCTGCCTCCTGCACGCCCCCTACTGGGGATGCGCCCGCAACCGAGGTCCATGCCCTTGGCCGGAATCGAACCCGGGACCCTTCAGTCCGCAGGCCGGCGCTCTATCCATTGAGCAACACCGGCCAGGGCTCTTCCACGGCGCATTTCAATGGAAAGGTGGTCACTGGTTCTGCGCGCAAAGTGAACACGTGTCCACGATCTTTAAGCAACGAGCCAGGGAACCAGTTACGCGTTAAAACCAGTTCAAAGGAAAATCTAAAAACCAGATACACGAATATGCTAGTAAGCGGTGTATCCGAAGGCGGAAATAAGCTTGTTCACCGATGCAAAACGGGTGAGGGCAACGGCCGCAGAACTAGCCGCAAGGCCCACCCGTCACCCGGCGGCAAAGCGGCCCCGGGAGAGCGAGGCGCCCTGGCCGGGAGGAGCCCGAGGCAGACGCCCGGCGTCTCTCCGAGAACATCCCACAGGCGCACTGAATGCACAGCGTGCAGACACCGGCAGGCACTTCCCCGGGGAGGCCCCTGGCCTGGAGGGTTCGTCAGGGCGACGGGGCGCTCCAAGGCCGAGAGCCCCGGCCCTGCGCGCGAGACGCGCCTCCTCACCGC